GGTTTTTAAGTCCTTCTCCTCGCTGAACGCGCCGCTGATGGTGCTGTTCAACAAGACGAGCACCGACATGTTTGGGCTTCACGATGGGTAAGTCGATGTTCCTCTTCCTAAAAGTCTCTGCTAGCCTGCCCTCCTCTCGGGGTCCGTCCATTTCCTCCTCAATCTCTGCTAGCCTGCCCTCCTCTCGGGGTCCGTCCATTTCCTCCTCCAATCTCTGCTAGCCTGCCCTCCTCTCGGGGTCCGTCCATTTCCTCCTCCAATCTCTGCTAGCCTGCCCTCCTCTCGGGGTCCGTCCATTTCCTCCTCCAATCTCTGCTAGCCTGCCCTCCTCTCGGGGTCCGTCCATTTCCTCAAACAATCTCTGCTAGCCTGCCCTCCTCTCGGGGTCCGTCCATTTCCTCAAACAATCTCTGCTAGCCTATCCTTCCTTTTCAGTGGTGCTCTTCTCCTCTCTGGTGCTACCTGGATCGCCATGTCCGGCATGGTGTTCTCCATCGCGGCCCTCATCCCGTTGATGGACTATTTTGGGCGGAAATTCATTTGTGTATATATTAAGTGAGTACCCCGCCTTATATAAAACCCGTTTTTCGTTAGATTCCTCTTCACGTCAGTTGGCGTGGCATTAATGATAGCTGCCTGGGCGCTGCAGAATGCCCTTTTCTACCTGTTCGGCTTGACGTTTGTCGTCGTCTCGGCGGCCATCCTCGGCCTGGCCGACCCGATTTTCATTAGTGAAATCGCGCCGAAAGAACATAAAGGTGCTGCCAGATATTAGAATTCGATTAGATTTTCGAGTCTATTTTTGGTGTCCTGAGAGGCTGAAACATGTTTTTGTTGAAATTAGCAACTGATAATTTTTGTTACCTCGTTACGATATGGAATTCCAGGCTTCTTCACAGCATCGGTTCTCTCCTTTGCTGGTGTATTCGCGGGATTTTGCCTGATATTGGCTCGTGAAGATATTTGGGGAACACCGGAGAATTGGGGCCGGATTGCCGTGCTCGCCGAGGTAAGGCAGGCTAGCAGAGATTCTTGGCGGAAATTCGGCGCCTGAGAGCAAAACAGGCTAGCAGAGATTCTTTGAGGAAATGGACGGACCCCGAGAGGAGGGCAGGCTAGCAGAGATTGTTTGAGAAATGGACGGACCCCGAGAGGAGGGCAGGCTAGCAGAGTGTTTGAGGAAATGGACGGACCCCGAGAGGAGGGCAGGCTAGCAGAGATTGTTTGAGGAAATGGACGGACCCCGAGAGGAGGGCAGGCTAGCAGAGATTGGAGGAGGAAATGGACGGACCCCGAGAGGAGGGCAGGCTAGCAGAGATTGTTTGAGGAAATGGACGGACCCCGAGAGGAGGGCAGGCTAGCAGAGATTGTTTGAGGAAATGGACGGACCCCGAGAGGAGGGCAGGCTAGCAGAGATTGTTTGAGGAAATGGACGGACCCCGAGAGGAGGGCAGGCTAGCAGAGTTGTTTGAGGAAATGGACGGACCCCGAGAGGAGGGCAGGCTAGCAGAGATTGGAGGAGGAAATGGACGGATCCCGAGAGGAGGGCAGGCTAGCAGAGATCTTTAAGGAAATACGGAGCCAGAGAAGAGGGAAGACTACCAAAGATTTTTTTAGAAAACTTTTGGTTTTATGTACATAAATATTGTTTTAGTTTCTAAACATCTTCGTCCTGATGGCCGGTCTATTCTTGCCGGATAGCCCTGGGAAATGTAAAGGTATCTTTTCATTAAATGGAGAGAATGATACATTTTCAACTCCAGAAAGCACGATCTCAGTGTTCTACGCACAGCATTTCCGCAAATTTGCGGGTATTTTCAAGGCGGGCAATGGGACGAGAAAGGTACGTGTTGGAGTTTTTGAATCCCGTAAATTAGTGCCCAATTTATTCGTTTTGATAATCGGTGTTACAATGAGTAAAAAAATCACGTAATTTAGTCTTTTCGTTCATAGGTGAAAAGCTAGTAGATTGGAAAAACGGGTTTCAAAAACACTCTCGGCCACGCGGCTCGAAACTCAGATAATTTTGGCTCGGGAGACGATTAGCGGGATCAGAGTCAAATCAAAATATCAATTTAGTCCTCAACTTAAAAAAAAATTATTTTAGAAAATCTTCCTACTAATGGCAATGCAAATATTCCTACTCGCCAACGTCAACACTATCGAGATAAGCTTTCCGATTCCGGTGTATCGCGATGAGGGGATGGTCGTTAATGAGGTAAGCGACCTCCCAAAGAACCTCTGCTAGCCTGCCTATTATTAAAGGGCTCGGAAGTCAAAATTTACGCTTGCGGGGATTGAACCTATTGGTCAAAAATGAAAGGGTTACTGCCGAGAAGCACCAAAAAAGTAGTTTCGTTGCGAAAAAACCGTAAAATATTTGAGTAAAACCGGAAAAAAAAATCTTGGGTCGGAAACGACTTTTTGAGTGGGCGGCGATTACATGTCGTAATGCCTTGCAAGGTATCTAATATCTCGATCTCGGTGATCCTCGGATCAATTTTCATAATTAAAACGTCTAGCATGATCAAAATTCAAAGAGGATTACAGAAATAGCTGCAGAATTTTCAAATTCAAAGCGTTTTCACGTCCAAACAGGGGCAAAAGGTCATGCGGCGCGGTCGCGTTGCGGTCGCATCTGGCCATTTGCCAAGAATCGACGCTGCGGGTCGTGGACAAAATTTTTAAGCCCCTTCAATGACTCATTTCAGGTGCTTGCGATGATCCTCCTCAACTTCATCATAACAATCCCGATCTCTTGGTTCGGCCCTCTAGCCGTCGATCGGCTGGGGAAGAAACGAATTGTGATGATGTTGCTTGGATTCCTAATTTGCAAAACTACCCTCCATTTTATCAATGGACAACTGCAGTTCTGGGGATTGAGTAGGTCTTAGAATTTTTTTTTTTGCTTGTATCACGAAATCAAGCCAAGATGACATTCATAGGCACTGACTTAACGGCAAGATTTTTCGAAACACATCTCTTCAAAAATCTCGTAAGCCTGCAACAACTGTAGTCTTCATACAGAGATCTTATAAAAATTACACCTCGACAAGATATAAATGTTATTTTGTTAATTTCAGGTTATTTAAATGCTTTTTTACAACGTGTCATCGAGGGTTCCGGGTTGCCGGCGATCACTTTTGTGTTGGCTACCGATATTCTACCGCCGAATTTTGTGGTAACGGCAGGACAGGTAAGCTAGCAGAGATTGTTTGAGGAAATGGACGGACCCCGAGAGGAGGGCAGGCTAGCAGAGATTGTTTGAGGAAATGGACGGACCCCGAGAGGAGGGCAGGCTAGCAGAGATTGGAGGAGGAAATGGACGGACCCCGAGAGGAGGGCAGGCTAGCAGAGATTGGAGGAGGAAATGGACGGACCCCGAGAGGAGGGCAGGCTAGCAGAGATTGTTTGAGGAAATGGACTGACCCCGAGAGGAGGGCAGGCTAGCAGAGATTGGAGGAGGAAATGGACGGACCCCGAGAGGAGGGCAGGCTAGCAGAGATTGGAGGAGGAAATGGACGGACCCCGAGAGGAGGGGCAGGCTAGCAGAGATTGGAGGAGGAAATGGACGGACCCCGAGAGGAGGGCAGGCTAGCAGAGATTGGAGGAGGAAATGGACGGACCCCGAGAGGAGGGCAGGCTAGCAGAGATTGTTTGAGGAAATGGACGGACCCCGAGAGGAGGGCAGGCTAGCAGAGATTGTTTGAGGAAATGGACGGACCCCGAGAGGAGGGCAGGCTAGCAGAGATTGGAGGAGGAAATGGACGGACCCCGAGAGGAGGGGCAGGCTAGCAGAGATTGGAGGAGGAAATGGACGGACCCCGAGAGGAGGGCAGGCTAGCAGAGATTGTTTGAGGAAATGGACGGACCCCGAGAGGAGGGCAGGCTAGCAGAGATTGTTTGAGGAAATGGACGGACCCCGAGAGGAGGGCAGGCTAGCAGAGATTGGAGGAGGAAATGGACGGACCCCGAGAGGAGGGCAGGCTAGCAGAGATTGTTTGAGGAAATGGACGGACCCCCGAGAGGAGGGCAGGCTAGCAGAGATTGGAGGAGGAAATGGACGGACCCCGAGAGGAGGGCAGGCTAGCAGAGATTGGAGGAGGAAATGGACGGACCCCGAGAGGAGGGCAGGCTAGCAGAGATTGTTTGAGGAAATGGACGGACCCCGAGAGGAGGGCAGGCTAGCAGAGATTGTTTGAGGAAATAAACGGACCCCGAGAGGAGGGCAGGCTGGCAGAGATTTTTTGGGATCAAAATTCTCCTTTCTTTTCAGTTGGCAATGATGTCCTCATGCTCACTACTCGGCCTCCTCGCCTCAATTTCTCCGTTCACTTTTGGCCACTTTCTACCGGAATACCTCATTTGCATTACCTTATTCTCGACGGGAATGGCCGTATTGGTGCTGTGGTTATGGCGGAGAGTGGAGAACGAGGAGGAACAGGTGGAATTTTTTGCTGCGGAAACTAAAGTCTAATTGTGAGGAAAAAAAATTTGAAAGGCAGGTTTCCGCCTGATGCATATTTTTTGAATACTTCATTTTTAAATTGATCAAGTAATTTTTTTAATTTTTCTATTTATTTATATATTTTTAAAAGATTCTATGAACCTGAAATTTTAAGCTTTTAAAACAATAACAATAACCACGGGTTTTTCGGTTGAAACAGATCTTTCCAAAATTCAAAAAAATCGATTTTAAGAAAACTTACAGTATTTTTGTAGTATTTCTAATTTTAAAGAATCTATTCAAGGTATCGAAACCTTAAATAAAGCTGTGTTAATTTGCAACCTTTTTTTAGCCAGCCGACCAAGAGCCGCTACTCCGAAAAGGCTCTCCACCGCCCGAGTATTCCGCATTGACATAGCGTTGTAATAATTATCCCAATTTGCGTGTAATAATAATAATAATAAAAATAAATATATATAAGTAAGAACATTCAAACGGAATTTATTTAAGTGTTAAATAAAATCAAATGAAATGCAATGAAAAATGGCTATTAGAACGGGTTCTGCAGTTCGGTCATCTGGCCATATCTGAAACTTTAAGGTTGCCTAAAAAATCGAGGTAGTAAAATTTTAAATAGAATTTCTACAAAATTCAATCTCTAAATTAATAATCCGCACAAAATAAATTGCTCAAGAAAAAGTGGGACCTGTGACTGTGTAGCCCTGTTTTCGAATGGTGACGCTTCATCCTGAAACATTTTTTAAAGAACGGTTTCCAGAATATCCGAAAAACTCTTTGCTAGCCTGCTCCCCAATGGTATCTGCTAGCCTGCCCCAAGCTTAAAATTGATTGTGTCATTAAAAAATGGTCGCTGCTATCCTGCTAGTGGTCCTGTGAAGGGATAAAACGCTTATTGCTGCAAATTTCCTTTTCAATTTGCGACTCGCCCCCCGCCTGGCCCACTACCCCAACATAGCTGCCGGGTTAACTTCTGTGGTCAGTTCTACGGAACAACACAAGTTTGAGGTTAGCAACTGACCCGAGTTGTCCTTTGCTGGAAACTCGTAAATTTTGGAACGCGGCTCTTCGGGGCTGCACTATGAAACTTTGTTCTAGCGTTTAATTTTGTCGGATAAATGAAGCTTAATGAAGTTAGCTAGAGAGAGCAAAGCTACAGTACACCCTGAATGGCAAACAATCTCTGCTAGCCTGCCCCTCCACATACTTATGATGTCCATGATGTTGATGGTGAGAGTGATCATGATCCCCATACCAGATTCGCTCACAGAAAGGGAGATTTCTGAAAATTAATGAATTCATATTGAATTCACGGTTTAATAATACCTATTAACATTTTCCTGCTCGTCGGCCGGCAATCGGAGGATGTATTGGCGCACCTAAATTTTGGAATTTTTTTGCTTCACTTAAATCAAATTAAAAGAGTTTTATACCTAATTTTTACGCTGATTTTATTTTAAATTATGTTATTAATATGTTGTTTTCGAATTATTAATGACCGAAAACCGTACCGTCTTTTTGCAGCCAGCATGATCGGTCTCGTGCATTTTGTGCAGGGCGTCAATTTCCGTTTGGCTGGCCGCCTTTTTCAGCCAGGCGTAGCAGTCGCTAAAGGGTTTGTGAAGGCAGGATTGTTACCTATTTGGCGATTCCGAGAGGAAAGGATGGCCAAATTATTTTACAGCGCAAATTTAATTCACAAAATCAAATTTACAAATTTACAAAAAGCTGTTTTGATGAACATGTTTCAACAAATTTTATACTAGAATTCGTAAAATCGGGAGAATCTGAGGCAAGTTTGCTTTTGAGCTAAATTTTTAATTTTTAAGGGCTAAGCTGGTTTTCTGCTCCTCATCTTTTTTCCTAACGTCTTCTAAAGGGTTTTTGAAGGCAAGGATTGCTATAGATTTTGAGCTTCCGAGACAATACGACAGAAAATTAACTAAAGTCTGAGAGGGGCAGTGCGGAAAAGTCGTGTTTCAAGTAATTTTAGCCCAAAATTTTACAAATTTTCCACAATTCTTTCAGAGTTGCTGCTTTCCAATTTTGTTATGAACTTTTTAAAGCCTAACTCGGTGATCTGCTGCTTCGTCTTTTCCTTCTTTGAACTGTCCAGGTTCTGTAGATATCCCATCACTTTCTCCTTGATTTCCGCGTTCGACTTGCCGGCCGCCTTCATCGCTAAAATGGGCAAGCTAGCAGAGATTGTTTGAGGAAATGGACGGACCCCGAGAGGAGGGCAGGCTAGCAGAGATTGTTTGAGGAAATGGACGGACCCCGAGAGGAGGGCAGGCTAGCAGAGATTGTTTGAGGAAATGGACGGACCCCGAGAGGAGGGCAGGCTAGCAAAGATTGTTTGAGGAAATGGACGGACCCCGAGAGGAGGGCAGGCTAGCAGAGATTGTTTGAGGAAATGGACGGACCCCGAGAGGAGGGCAGGCTAGCAAAGATTGTTTGAGGAAAGGGACGGACCCCGAGAGGAGGGCAAGCTAGCAGAGATTGTTTGAGGAAATGGACGGACCCCGAGAGGAGGGCAGGCTAGCAAAGATTGTTTGAGGAAAGGACGGACCCCGAGAGGAGGGTAAGCTAGCAGAGATTGTTTGAGGAAATGGACGGACCCCGAGAGGAGGGCAGGCTAGCAAAGATTGTTTGAGGAAAGGGACGGACCCCGAGAGGAGGGCAAGCTAGCAGAGATTGTTTGAGGAAATGGACGGACCCCGAGAGGAGGGCAGGCTAGCATGGATTATGAGCGGAAACTCACCTCGGATCTCATCCTTCTGCCCCTCTTCTAGCCAAGATAAATGCTTCTCAATCAGCGCATCAATGTCCTTGCGCTTTCGGGAAGACTGTTTTTCGTAGATGTCGCTGCAGATCTGAACCGATAATTCTTTTTGCGGAAAACGAGGTAACTACTTTTTTGTATTTTGTAGCCTCGGTTTTCTTGTCCCCTTCCTGACGGTCGATAACGCCCTCGATGATGGATTTGATCTGAAAAATACCATAATTCGAAATTCTGATTTTCCTCAAGAATTTCTACTAGCCTCTCTCCCTTGATAATTCCTACCTCTTCGACATTTCCGGCCTCCTTCAGCTCCTTGATCTTCTTCACCTCATCCTCCGTCGAGAGCGTCGTGAAGTAGTGCTTGCATTTGCCTAGGGGAATCGATTAGTTTGGGATCAACTCGGGACACAGGCGAGACGCTGTGCAACGCCGCACACAACTCCGCACGCGACGCGACACGCAACGCTGACGTAACGCAACGCGCGACGCGACGCCGAACCAGCACGCGACGCAGTGCGCAACGCGACACGCAACGCAGCGCGTATCTCAGCTAGCCGGTAGCAGGCAAGACAACGCACAACGCTCAAATACGCAAAGCAGTACGCAACGCAACGAAACGTAGTACACAACTGAACACGCTCCGCAGCGCGCAACGTACCAAATAACGCAACACGCAACGGAGCATGTAAGGCAGCACGCATCACGCACCGTAGCACGCGACGTAGCACGTAACGCAACGCGCGACGCGACGCCGAACCGGTACGCAGCACAGTACGCATCGCAGTACGCAACTGAACACGCGACGCATACGCAGCGTGCACGCACTGCTCTTACAAGGTGTAATCGATCACGGTAGTATTCACGGGGCACGTGTGCGTTACGTGTCGCGGTCCGCGGGGCTTTTCAAAACGCTTTAAATAGGTCTAATACCCAAAAAAAAAAGTGTAAACTACCGTACCCTTTGCCTGTTCCTTCACCTCGTTCTGCTTCTCCTGTGGCAGCTGCTCGAAATATTCCATTACGCGCTTTTTTAGGTCCTCCGACGACTTTCCGGCTGCCTAAATATGGATTAATCAACCTGAATAATTATAATTTAATAAAATTAAACTAAATTCGATTGAGAAAAATCGATTTTTGATGGATTTTGAAACATGATTTTTTTATTGATCAGTGTTGACCTTTATTTCAATTAGAAAGTGCTGTATATACCAACCAGTGGAAAAAGACCGCTTCGCGGCCCTTTTCCCCTGGACCCCGTCCAGGAATCATCAATTTAAATACCTTCTTTTTCGGCCTGCGCATGAACCTAGGTCAAGGAGCCATTCTTTGGCCTGCGGCGCAAGAGCCAGCTTTGCGCTAGAATCCTTGAGCCTGCGGCGCTAGTTACTGGTTTTTCTCTCCCGGAATCTGGCCTGCGGCGCGAGAGCCTGGGTCCAGGACCCATCCTTGGCCTGCGGCACGACAGCCTAGGTCCAGGACCCACCCTTGGCCTGCGGCGCGAGAGCCTGCGTCCAGGACCCATCATTGGCCCGCGGCGCGAGAGCTGGGTCAAGGACCTTATTTGGCCTGCGGCGCTAAAGCGAGAGCCAGGCCTAAACCTCGCACACCGTGAGCCTAAAAATAAGTTTTGTTGCTGAACTACCAAAAAGCAAAAAGTTAAATTGGCGAGGATCCGAACCCACGACCATGCGCGTGGCAGACCCCGCCCCAATCCACTACACCGCAGGACGGATGGGAGCGGGGGCGGCAAAGGCCTCTTCTGTCCTGGGGGCGGGTCCGCCCAGGGCAGCGGTAAAGAAATGAGAGCTATGAGGGATGCCTTCTGGCCACTTTGTAAAATTCGCTTTTTTAGTCTGAAACTGCCAAAAATTTGTCAAAATAATAAGATGCGCGTGATCCCCACCATCGATTACATAAGTGCTCCAAATGCCAGCCCGAAATTCCACCTGGGCTTCGAGTTATGGCCTGGACACCACGGCACTTTGGCCATTTTGTTAAGGAATTCGCAGAAAAATGTTCATAAAAGCCTTATTTTAAAGAATTAACGAAAATCCAAAAATTGGTATCGAGATATTTTCATTATGCATCAATCCACCAAAAATCAGCGTCTAACTCCTTCTGGCAATCGAGATAGCCTCTGAACAAACCTTTTTTCGACCAAAATGTTAAGGATTTTTCAGTATTTCGCTTGTAAAATCGTTAAATGAAGGAATTTCAAAAAAACAAAAAAAACCTTATGAAGGGGATGTATTTCTCCACCTCCATGCCAAAAATCAGCCTGAAATTCGGCCTGACGGCCGAGAAATCGTCTGCACAGAAAACAAACATACTTTTCTCGCTTATAGGATAGGATTACCTTTTCCTTCTTCAGCTCCTCCAGCTGGTCGGTGTTCAGCCAGAAAGCGAAATCCTATGGAAAACAATTAAATTAAAGTTAAACTCTCACTCTTACCTCAAGCAAATCCCTGCGTTTCCGATCCGTCTTCTTGAACCACAGTGCTTTGCATTCGGTCTAAAAATCAGGTTTATTTATTTTTCTCTTTTACTATGACGGGCAGCTTATCTTTTACTTATTTGTGTAATACAAAAATTAAACAATTGCAAATTATTGCCGCTCACCGCCCACGCGTCGACCAATTTTCGTGTATTCTCGTCGAGACGCCCTTTATAGTCGGTTACCCTAAATGACATAGTTCTGAATTAGTATAATTCTTAACTTATCATCAAAATGTTAGAAGAGAGCTAAATGACAAACTACAAGCTCCAGAAAGTCATAGAAAATCTAAGACCTAGTCAGAATCTCCTTGTCGTTCCCCTCCTCATGCAGAACTTTCAATTCCGCGATTTCTTCGGTGGTGGCCACCTAAAAAAAGTAACTTTGTTTATAAAATTGCTTGCCACATTTCACAATAAGTTTTGGCATTTTACAGACACTGGAAAGTGCGAGAATCGACCCCCTTGAAGCGGCTAGGCCTAGACAGCTACGCGAGGCTTCAAATGACGTTTACCAGCTCTGATTCTGGCTGGTAGTAATCGAGCATTTCAGTGAGGCGCTCCTGTTTTTTGCGTAAATTGTAGTGTAGCGTACTTGTCTAGAATTTCTGCGAGAATCGACCCCCATGAAGCGGCTAGGCCTAGACAACTACGCGAGGCTTCAAATGACGTTTACCAGCTCGGATTCTGGCTGGTAGTAATCGAGCATTTCAGTGAGGCGCACCTGTTTTTTGCGTAAATTGTACTGTAGCGTACTTGTCTAGACCCAGCCGAGAATGGTCGATCCCGGGTTTTCTCTTGCGGGGCCTTTGAAAGGCATAAGCTTATTAAGTGAAGCTTCTAGACGCTTTTTAATTATTTTTAGAGTATCTGGTTAGATTCTCCGCTTTCCGGTCGCTTTAAAGGCCCTGGAAAGGCAAAATTTTACGGATTTTTCCGCGCCGCGACTCGCAACGCGCACACCCATATCGGCGTTACGGATACATTACGTAATAGTTACGGAAGGTTTGTTCGCGTTGCGTGACGCGGGCGCCGAAAAATCACACCCCACTTAGTCAGTAGCCATGCCTTGCCGGGCCCTTTAATCACCTTTTTGATCCACTCGACACAATCATTCTTGTAGTGCTCGTCGAGCTGTTCCCTCTTCTCGGCCGGCAGCTCGCGATACCAAGCCATTATCGTGTCCTTTTGCACCTCGACCGAGGTCCCGTTTTCTTTCAGCTAAAATTGAATTAAATTCTAATTTATCTATTCGCGCTATTTATTTTACATGCGTGTACATCATCATACGGCTGCCAAATCGAAAAATATTTATAGCCGCACTCCTATCAGATTTAATAAACTTCATGGTTTCAAATTTCACTTTTGGTCGAAAAAATATGTGTTCCATGTTGAATTCAATATAACCAGGGTTGAAAAGCCGCTTCGCGGCTTTTCAACCCTGGCCCCGTCTGACCCCATTTTATCCTTCAATTTGCATAAGTGTCCTAAATTTTGATGCCAAAAATGAAAACAACCTCTCCTATCTTTTTTATAGCCGAATCCCAACTTCCGGTCTATGCTAATTATTCCTAACAAAGAAGTTTTCACAAAAAGTTAAATTTAATGTCGAAAATAGGTGATTTTGTTAAATCTAATATGCGTGCAGTCATCTCCAGGCCATTACGTACCTAATGACGTATCATACATACCTTAAAATCCATCCCCTATCGAAATATCCTCCGGACAGACAGACGGAAGTGGATGCAAAGTGGCACACACAGACACACACAGACACTATTTTTTTATATATAGTAGGACCAGTGGAAAAAAGCCGCTTCGCGGCAGTTTTCCACTGGCCACTTCTAGGCCCACATGACTCTAACCTTCCCAAAAGCCTATCGTAAATTTATGTGCCGGCCGGAGGCCGGTCACATAAAGCTGAAAAATAGATTCAAAGATACAATTCAAAAAAGTTTAGAGATAATTATGGCAAAGAACCAATGTTGAGAAAGTCAGACACATATTAGGGGGTTTAAAATGTTTATTCAGCGAAATATAATTTAAAAAGCAACGAACAACAACAATAACAACAACAGCAAAAGGTAAAAATAACAATAATAATAAGAACAAAATCAACAATGACAAAAGATTTAGAACTTATTCGAGGACTTCTTCGTAGACGACGTTCTTCATCTTGTTGTCCTTGGCCATTATCGAGACACCTTTGCGGCTCCGTGCTCTCGAGAGAGCAACATAAAGCTGGCCGTGTGCAAAGATTTCTTCGTGTAACATTGCAATGCCGACCTTTTCGAATGATTGCCCTTGACTTTTGTTGATGGTCATTGCGAAGCTCAGCCGAACTGGAAATTGGCGTCGCTTCAGCACGAATGGTAGTGTGGCTTTGTCATAAAGGCAATCAATTCGGGGGATCAACACTTTCTTGCCTTTCCTGCTACCCGTGGCAATTGTGCAGAGGAGAATTCTGGCTCTGATTTGCTCGACAATCAGCCTGGTACCGTTGCAGAGACCCTTTTTGACGCTGAGGTTTCGCAGAAGCATCACGATGCAACCCACCTTTAGATGGAGCAGGTGGGGAGGCATTCCAGATGGTGTCATCTTGTTTAGAAGCTCTGCGTTGAAGTTGGCAGCATCGGTTGGATCAGTAGTCTCGGCCGAGTCAGCACTTCTGAAGGTTTTGACTTCTCCGGGTAGCATATCCAAGATTCGATTGTTGAGCTCGAGAGCTTGTTCGTTCTTGGGTGTAAGGATAGCTACTTCAGAAAGTTCAACTCCTTCATCGAAGGCTGGTCGGAAGACTGCTTCGGCCAAATCTTGCTCGCATCTGAGATCTTCGGGTACTTCGAGGTATCCCTCTTCGTCTTTGTCGAGTAGATCATTACCCAGAGCGAGAAGATAGTCCTTCCAATCGTTGCCTGCATCCCGAACTCTCATGTTGGTCGTGAGCTCAAACTTTCGGAAGAGAGGCCAGAGTCGGGATGACTTCAAGCAGGCTGACACCATTTCAGCACGACCACCGCCATCGACCACGGGAAGTACCTGTCGGAAATCTCCTCCAAGTACCATGATCTTTCCACCAAATGGCACATCGTTTTGCATAATGTCTTTAAGAAGAGCATCAGCTGCTTCGAGTGCTTCTTTCGGTGCCATTGGTGCTTCGTCCCAGATGATCAGGTCGATCTCAGCGAGTGCTCGTGCTTCAATGCTTTGCCTTTTCATGCTGGACTCCTTGTTGTTGGTCTTGATCAACAGACGGAAGGCTGTGCTGACTGTTCGTCCTTCTTCCAATAGGTTGGCGGCAATACCTGTCCACGCTACCGAGAGAATCTTCTTGCCCATACCGGATAGAATGTGGTAGATGGTTTGGTAGACGAAGGTCTTGCCGCTTCCCCCTGGACCGTCAATGAAGAAGCACTGCCCACTTGGGTCTGCGACCTCGGCCAAGACTTCATCCGTTGCTCTGAGTTGTTCTGGATTCAATTGCAAGTATTTGTCGTTCCCGAGTCGAGCATGCTCAGCGGGATCAACAACGACGATGTCAATGTCGTACTTTGGCAAATTGAGTTGGAACAACGGACTGTCTCTGACCCCGAGAACTGTCAGATCTTCGACAATTTCCCAGTAGGCCTTTGACTCAGAGACTTGGATGGAAAGTCCGCGAGCAAGGAAGTCCTGCATTAGGTCGTTCTTGAAGCGTTCCCAGAACGTCACAGGGTCCTGCACGTCAGCGAAGCAGATCAGGGAAGAGAAGAAGCTGCGAAGTTCTCCAGGCATCCGCACGTCGGCGGCTTCCTGCATCGTAGCTAGGTTCACAGAGTCATCGTTCATGTATCCTGCTGCTTTGGCGGCCTCAAAATAGGTGTTGTATTGAGTGCCGTTGATAGTACGCAGTTGTTCGAAGCTCCTGGGGCCCTTCGTATAGAGCAGAAGCAGTCTCATGGCAAAACGTTCCGTGTCTCGTGGAGAGACATGGTACATCCGGCCAATCACCCGCGACGCATTTTTTCGTTGCACCCATTTGCCTTGCACGATACGATATTTTTCTGGCATTTGGCCATAGAAAAATTCTCTGGAATCTAAGACTCTCTCTGCTTCCCTCCTTCTCCCGATCTGCAGACACTTTTGACCGTTAACCGTAACCGTCCTTGCTCCGGTGTCCTCCAAATCCTGCATATGCGTGTTGATGGCAAAGAATGCGCTCAGCGTGGTCTTATGAGTGCGAGCTCTATTCAGTGCCGCCTGTGCATCTTCTGGGTCAAACACCACATTTTCAAATCCGTCAAGATGTACTTGGAGTCGGATGACTTTGTCGCTCTTCTTTTGCATGGGAAATGCGAAAAGACGATGGCAAGCTTCGGGAGCGCACAAATAACGACCTTGTATGTACCGTTCGATCTCATTGACCGGTCCAAGGTCATCATTGTTTGCATCCCGAAGTTGGAAGCGAGCTCTGTCCGTACCCTTATAGACGTATTTGAAGAGGTATTTGACCGAGTCGAAGGAGAAGCAGCATTCGAGATTGATGTGTGCACCAAACCGAAGCAGGAGGTAAGGGTTGTAAGGCACGACGTGACGGTTGTCAAGTACGACATCCACCCGGTTCACCGTATACCGAACAGTCCTTCCCTGGTCTCGGCGTCTGTACTTTGGATAACCGTCTGAGATCAGAGTGGTGTCTCTGAATTCTTTTGGAAATCCTTTAGAACAGGAATTGTCTTGCATGCAGGGCGATGAAGGATTATGGGCACCGCAAGGCCGATGGATCATATTGGTCGAAACCAATTGAAACAATTCAGGATTAGTGTCGGAATCAGGGAGCTCAGCAGAGATGATACTATCAACCTCGTCAGATGTTCTGAGCTTTGAATCCTCCTTCAAAAATAGGACCATATGACGGTGCGGAAGCCCTCGTTTCTGGAATTCAATCACCGAAACGTAGGCAGCCATTTCTCCGAGGATGTGCTTTTTGAAAAGTTCCTCATCGAGTGCCCTCATTTTCAATTCGAACACTCTTGCAACCAAATCTGGACGATCAATTGCAGTCTGGCCTGGATAAAGACCATCCTGAATTTCACGCCAGTTCGGATTGCAAGTGATGGTCAAAAAGAGATCTGGCTTTCCGTACTTGGTCATAATGGCCACTGAATCCTGATAGTGTCCAACCGAATTTCGACCACTGCCTTGATGACCGGCGCCCAAAATAATCTTTCTGCCTGCAGGACCTTGACCATGAGAATTCATGTGATCGGTGAGGCCACGGACCGTATCCAGCCGAAGTTCACGCTGGTGAGTCAGATAATAATTTAGCCTATTCTGTTCAGTCTTGGCGAAGGCATCCACGTAATATTGTTGGCAAAGTTTGCCGCCGTGGTGGATAGGATTGAAGCCTTGCCTGACGAACATGTTATAGGCGAAATATTCTCTTTGAGATACCCGGTTCGGCGGACCGTCATCGGCAATAGCCGGTTCGTCATCGTCAGAGTTACCACGACGGCCAGCATTTCCCACTTGCTTCGGAATGTTAGGGTGCCACCCCTCTCCACCCCGAGGGAAGAAGAGAGGATAACAGAGTGGTTCGCACTCTTTCTGCAAGTAGTGGATCTGCCTGAGGCCGCCGTCTCGCTCGTGGATATAGAACACGCGCTCGCCGGGTATCGACTCATCGTCACCAACGTAAACAACGGCAATCTCATTGGATGTAGGCGCATTGAACCGTCTTTGGTCGTCCCTTTTATCTGTTCGAAAGATCAACTGCGCTGAGAGAGCTTCCCGCCCATCGGCAGCTGCTTGATCAGACTCCTCCTTGGAAACCTCTGCCATCATCATCAATGATTGTACATAGATATTGACGTTTTGCAAGAGGAGATGGAGGTTGGCAAAGAGGCCTTGATCGCAGTGCCGATTGATGGCACGACCGGCTAGCTCGTTGGCCGCTTGCTCGGTGTCCATAATATAGATCTGGGCATATTGGGCTTGCTCTCCAGGCTGTGGTCTCATAGGGCCGACCAAATGGTACACTGCTCCATGGATCCGATAAGGCCGTGGTCCTCTTCCGGGCGGAGCATCCATTTGGGCCGTCATTGAAGCCATAGCTAGACCGCTATTGTAATTTCGAATGTTCGCCCGAAAATCTTTCGATTCTCGAGTATCCCCTTTGTAAAGATCTTCCAATTCCTGGGGGAAATTGTCGAACAACGAAATAGCGATTTTGCCATGGCCGC